CAGGTCCGTAGTCAAGTTCCCATATGTCCACTATGTAACCATAATATGTATCCTTTCCGCTCTCGGTTGCTGCATCAAAGCGGACATCGCTGTTTTGGTTGGTGCTCTTTTGATCTTGGGCGATCGTGTAAAATGTATTCCCATTTATCTCGTATCCTTTGTAAGTCAATACAGTCAAAGATGGTCCCCTGGACAACAAGTACAAGTCATCACAAACAGTGTTGTCACCTCTGAGACGTGTTTCCAACCAACTGCTGAAAGTCCTGATGTGTTCACATGTAATCCAGTCGTCGCACTGCTCCGGGTGTTTGGAGCGCAGACTGTTCTTGTGTTCATCGACATACGGGGTCACCAAGGTAGAGTTCTGTAGAACTGTGTAGTGTGCTTGAGACCAAGAATATCCGTCCTTGCATATTATTGAGTCTCTTCCAAGAGTGCCTTTTCCAGTCAGTCTCCCCTCATACCGCGATTTAGGGAGACCTATCTTGTTAAGGCCAGGAATGAAGTCAACACAAAACCCGATAACATCCTCTGTTTGATGGCCCATGGAGATGCTTTCTTCTGGCCTAGCGCGGTTACGGACATATTTCTTTAGGACTCCCATGAACCTCTCAAAGGGGAACATATTGTGTAGAAATACGGGCCCCAGGATGACAATCTCGTCGACTAGATGAACTAGGACGTGCGTCATGATATTGAAGAAGGATGGTGGGAACACCAGCTCGAAACTGACAAGACATTGCGCCACATCACTCCTTAGCCTTGGTACGATTTCTGGATCGATCACCTTCTGAGAGATTGCATTGAGGAATGCACATAGCTTCACAATGGCTAATCAGACGTTTTCCGGTAGAAGCCCCCTCAATGCAACCGAAAGCAGTTGCGTCATAATCATGTGGCAGTCATGAGACTTTAGGTTCTGAAACTTTTTCTCTGGCATATTTATTATTCCCTTTATATTCGACGAGAAGCCAGTCGTGACCTTCATACTGAGCAGGCATTCAAAGAAGATTTCTTTCTCTTCTTTCGTAAGAGCGTAGCTGGCAGGACCTTTATACTTCTTCGGAGGCATGCCGTCTTTTTCGTGCAAACGTTGCAGGTCCTCTCGTGCCTCAGGTGTATCTTTTGTCTTCCCATACACGGCCAAGAAGCCTAGCAGGTTCATGCAAAGGTTCTTCGTCACGTGCATCACGTCGATTGAGGAGCGGACCTCTAGGTCTTTCCAGTAGGGTAGGTCCCAAAATATAGATTTCTTCTTCCACATGGGTGCGTGTCCCTCAGCGTCATTCGGAACAGCTAGTCCACCGGGACCCTTTCCAAAGATTACGTAGTGTAAATCATTGACCATAGCAAGCACGTGATCACCGGTGCGCATGGCGGGCTTCTTCCGGTGATCTGCCTCGCCTTTGAAATGCTTGCCTTTCTTTCGACATTGATGGTTGGTCGAAAGAAATCGATGATGGCCCAGGTACACATTCTTCCTGCATTTGTCCAGGTATATACTTTCAGTGTCATCTAAACAGTGCGTGCATGCGTGGTATCCTTTGTTTGTCTATCCTGAAAGGTTACTGAGAGCGGGCCAATCATTGATGGTCACGAACAGCAACACCTTAAGGTTAAATTCCTCCTGTCTGTGCTCATCCCACGTACGTACACCGTTTCCATTCCACAGCTGTAAAAGTTCTTCAACTAATGGCCTTAGGTACACATCAATTTCGTTGACGGTTGCTTAGGGCCTTGGATGAGAACTGGCATCATAATGAACTTCCGCTTCATGCACATCCAAGGAGGAAGGTTATACATACATAAAGTCACGGGCCAGGTGCTGTGATTGCTGCTCTGCTCCCCGAAAGGATTAATGCCATCCGCGCTTAAAGCAAACCATACATTCCTTGGGTCCTTTGCAAACTCATCCCGGTACTTTCTCTCGATTTTTCTCCACTGCGACCCGCCAGCGGGTGCTCTCAACTTCCCATCTTTCTTTCGGTTCTCACTGTGTCATCGCATCAACTTGGCATGCTCTTCGTTTCTGAACAGACGTTTCAACCGTGGTATTATAGGAGCATACCACATCACCTTCGCAGGAACCCTCTTCCTGAGGGGCTCGCCGTCAACATCACCAGGGTCATCTCGTCTGATCTTATACCGCAACGCACCGCATACCGGGCATGCGTTCAGATCCTTGTATGCACTGCGGTAGAGGATGCAGTCATTAGGGCATGCATGTATCTTCTCCACCTCCAATCCTAGAGGGCATACGACCTTCTTTGCTGCGTATGTACTGTCGGGCAATTCGTTATCCTTTGGAAGCTTCTTCTTCAATATTTTCAGTAGCTTCTCAAATCCTTTGTCAGCCACAGCATTCTCTGCCTTCCACTGCAGCAATTCCAGTACGGTACCGAGCTTTGTGTTGCCATCTTCGCAATTGGGGTATAACCCTTTTTTGTGATCCTCTAATATGCGATCGAACTTCAGCTTCTCCTTTTGACTAATGCATTGCGTCCTTGCATCCACAATGACCCGGCGGAGATCATCATCATCGGGCACATCGTCTGGTTCCTCTTGATCTTCAGCAGCTTCACCCGTGGCAGCATCATTGGGCACATCGTCTGGTTCTTTTTGATCTTCACCAGCTCCCCCCGTTGCAGCATCACCGTATTCAGGGGGCACATAGTTGTCATCGTACTCTTCTTCTTCGCCGTCTTCCATTATAACCCCTATTTCTCCATGCCTCGTCCAAACATTATAGTGTGGCATGAAACCCTTGTAAAGCAGGTGGGAGTGAAGGATTTTACGGTTAGAGTAAGACCTCGTATTCCCACATTCAGTGCATGGACAACACATAAAACCATTCTGCTTGTTTGCCTCAGCCGCATCGAGAAACTCATGCACGCCCTTAATGTACTCGCGGGTGTGTCTGTCACCGTACATCCATTGCCGGTTCATCTGCGTGCATTATATATAATTAAGTGTCCAAATTAATAGAAGTTTATCATCACATTAAAACCAAAGTGCATACATAGTTCTCATCTAACAACATATAGCTCTCCAGAGCATCTAATTAATTAAACCATACATTGAAAGTATGCAAAACATTTCAATGCGAAAACAAATGCGATCATAATTGCAACCAAGGTAACAATTGATCCAACGGCACAATGATACCAAGCCTCGGTATGAATGGCATATTTTCTAATCTTTCTAATCTTCAAGCGCATTGCATCCATCTTGATCTTGTGATCATCGACGACATCCGCAACATGCAACTCCAATATCATCTTCTTCTCCTCAATTTTTTTATTTTTTCCTTCAACAAATTGTTTTCTTCTTCAACTAAATTTAACCTCTCGACAATAGGGTCGGTTGGCATTTCCGATTCACATACATCCTAGATAAATAAAATCTATGTCACGTTGGTCGGCATAATTTTCATAAACAATAAATGAACCAATAGTTATAAAGATAATATACATACCAAATCCGAATCATAGACAGGACAAGGGCCGACGGGAGCGGATACCAAAACCATCGCACTATATAAGATGCAATAATAAATGTAAGAAAATGATACAAGTATCTATCTAAACATACAAGTAAGAATATTTTTCCTTTCAGAAAGAAGATAAGAACAAGAGGCTCACCATGGTGGTGTCGGTGATGAGATCGGCGCGGGTGATCGACGGCGGTGAAGACGGGGACGGGGCGTGACGGACCGCTAAATCTAGACAAATCTCGAGGAAAATGGAGCTTGGAGGTCGAGCTTCGAGAGGAGAAAGCTTAAGTAGTGTGGCTCGGGCATTCCATCGAACACCTCATGTGCATAGGAGGTGAGCTAGAGCACCACAAAGCCCTCTCCCCCTCGGCCAGAAAAAACAGAGCACTGTGCTCTGCTCTTGCGCGAGGGGGTATATATAGGCACCTCATTGGTCCTGGTTGGTGGCATGAACCGGGACTAAAGGGAAGCCTTTGGTACCGGTTCAAGCCACCAACCGGGACCAATGATGGTGGGCCAGGAGCGAGGCCCATTGGTCCCGGTTCGTCCCACCAACCGGGACCAAAAGGTCCAGACGAACCGGGACCAATGGCCCACGTGGCCCGGCCGGCCCCCAGGGCTCATGAACCGGGACCAATGCCCATATTGGTCTCGGTTCTACACTGAACCGGGACTAATGGGCTGAGCCGGTCTGGACCATAGCCCTGTTTTCTACTAGTGGAGATCCGATCTATCCGGGAGTTACTTGTCTGAGAGGAGAGGTTGCATAGAGAAAAAATTTACCGTACGTCCGATTGGGTTATTTCTTCCCAACTATCTTTTGTACTTGTATGAATCTTAACATTCAGATCACACACGGTGCCATATGGGCAGGTGAAGCTCTCCATGGAGCAGAGCTAGCCACGCACGCATGCATGTGTGGAGCTGCTTTGTGCGTCCTTTGGTATCATGGCAGGATCGTAGTATGCTGACCTTTACAGAGAATCGGAGAATAATAAGGCGGTGGTGGTGATCTCTCACGTGAAGTTTCCTCTCTGGGGAAGACAAACCGAGCTGAAAGTGTAGCAAAGGTCAAAGGGAGAGACAAGTTTCTCCCTGGCAACCACTGATAAAATACCATAAAATACTGAAGGGGAGGACAATCTAGCTAGCTCGGTAGTACTCCCTCCGTTCCAAAATATAGCGCGCACACGCTTTTCGAGGTTCAACTTTGACCATAAATTTAACCCACGAGACCGACTGCGGCGGGATCAAAAATTATATAATTAAAAACTTTTTTGAATACGAATTCATTGGTATAATTTTTTCGCCCGCCGCAGTCGGTCTTGTTGATTAAATTAATGGTCAAAGTTGAAGCACGGAAACCGAGGACGCGCTATATTTTGGAACGGAGGGAGTAACATGCTTGACGCTCGTCCTCAGTCTCAGCGGACAAGAGATTCGAATCGAAAGCGAATTAAAGCGCCGGTCACGGGGGCTATAGAAAGCCCGGCCACTGGCCAGGAGCATGCATCCCCCCATTCCTTTTCCTTCCCGTAGCTTTCTTCTTTGCCGCTTTGCGTGCCTCCCTCCCCCTCTGTCTCGTCCGCAGCAGCCAGCGGCTGGGACGATGAGGTCGTCGGCGGTGGCGGTGCCAGTGCCGGTGCGGCGGCAGCTGCTGCCATGCTTGGCCCTGCTGCTTCTTGCGGGTGCGGCGTCCGCCCAGGCCCAGAAGTACAACGCGGTGTTCAACTTCGGCGACTCCATCACTGACACGGGCAACCTGTGCACGAGCGGGAAGCCGACGGCGATCACCTTCACGCAGCCGCCCTACGGCGAGACCTACTTCGGCACCCCCACCTGCCGGTGCTCCGACGGCCGCGTCATCGTCGACTTCCTCAGTAAGTGCTGTGCTCCGCTGCTCCGCACACACACTCCATCTTGCTCAAATAAATCGTTCTTGCTTGACGTACGTACGATGACGCATTGCAGGCACCAAGTTTGGGGTGCCGTTCCTGCCACCGTCCAAGGCGAACGGCACGGACTTCAAGCAGGGCGCGAACATGGCCATCACGGGGGCGACGGCCATGGACGCGCCCTTCTTCCGCGGCCTCGGCCTCTCGGACAAGATCTGGAACAACGGGCCCATCAGCTTCCAGATCCAGTGGTTCCAGCAGATCACCGCCACCGTGTGCGGGAACGACTGCAAGCGGTACCTGCGGGACTCGCTGGTGGTGTTCGGCGAGTTCGGCGGCAACGACTACAACGCGATGCTGTTCGGCAACTACAACCCGGACCAAGCGAGCCGGTACCAATGCCGCTAAATGAAATCCTGTCCGCTATAGCCTGATTTTGCATGATTTTTCACCGATATATAGCTGATTTGGGTGAGTACTACCGCTACTTATCATAGCCTGCTATTCAAAACTTTGGCAGGTACACGACCAAGATCGTCAACACCATCATCAGGGGCGTGGAGAAGGTGGTGGCCATGGGGGCCAGGGATGTGGTGGTGCCCGGGGTGCTCCCCATCGGGTGCTTCCCCATCTACCTCACTGTCTACGGCACCAACAGCAGCGCCGACTACGACAGCCTCGGCTGCCTCCGCAAGTTCAACGACCTCTCCACGTTCCACAACAACCTGCTCCAGGCCAAGATCGCCCGCCTCCGGAAGCGCTACGGCCGGGCGGCGCGGATCATGTACGCCGACTTCTACTCCGCCGTCTACGACATGGTCCAGAACCCAAGCAAATACGGTACGTACGTGCGCACGCGGAGTAGTTCCCACATTTCCTTCCGACCGACCAGTACTCTCTTAGTCTTAGGTAGCCGTTGGGCATCTTCTTTCAGCAATAAGTCTAACTAACACGCCAGGGACAGACAAGCCACGCATAACGTGTGGATAGATAGATTCCGCGTTTGTGCACGAGCTAGCAGCAGCAGTGGACACGGCACTAGTGTCAGCGTCGGCATCAGTATCAGTGTGGTGCTACTTGCATACCCACTCTGGGCACATGTCCCTGCATGTGAGATTCCTGCATTTCCTGCGCGGCGACGAGTAGAAGATCTTCAGATCATTCAAAAAAAAAAGCATTCAAAAAAATCATTCACAAAGAAGATCTAGAGCTGACATGATGGTCAAGTAATGGTGGATCGGCACTGGCTGACACGCCCAACCAACACATGCCTCCACATGCATGCATGCATGGAGCACCGGCGCCGACCGGGGCACTGTTCATGCACGTTCTAGGTAGTGATCGATCCGTCTAGCTAGCTAACAAGGGTCTCTGCAGGTTTCAACGCGGCTTTCGAGGCGTGCTGCGGCTCCGGGGGAGGCAAGTATAACTACGCCAACAGCGCGAGGTGCGGGATGCCGGGCGCGGCGGCGTGCGCCAACCCGGCCGACCACCTCAGCTGGGACGGCATCCACCTCACTGAGGCAGCATACAAGCAGATCACCGACGGCTGGCTCAACGGGGCATACTGCAGCCCGCCTATTCTCCACACCTAAACATTATTTTATTTATTTATTTATTATGTGGAGCTGTGGTAGTATTATTTATTATTTGCTCAGAGGTTGAGTTTTCCTAATGGAAAAAGGAAATTTGATTCAGTGGCCTATGGTGGTGCTGAGATTATAATGTATACGTTGCCCAAGAAAAAAATTTGGAGGAAACTCTCGAATAAAGTGTAATTGCTTTCGTCCATCAAATGGTGTACATTCGTAACTTGTTGCATATATTGCCATCACTCTCACTCTCACCGCTTATCCCCTATTTCTAAATAGCAACAACAAAAACAGGGTGTCACCATGTTGGCAAAGCCTGCAAGGACGTTGGGATTTTTTCAAATACGCGCGAGTGTGGTACTACTACCTCCTACCTCCGTCCAGATTTATTGATCCTCTTTGTATTATGTGTCAAAATTTGATCATAGATTTAATTGTCAAAATGTTAATGCATGTTATAAAAAATTTATATTGTTGGATTCGTATTTGAATATAGTTTTCAATGATATTTTTTTGGGACATGCATTAACATTTTATTAATTAAATTCATGATCAAAATGTGACACAAAATACTAAGTGGACCAATAAACAAGGACGGTTGTAGTATATATTAAAAAATAGGATGGGGTAAGGAGCCCATCCACGTTGGTAGTTACACACCCTCACATTAGCTAACTTCTCACACTAGCCCACGCCGACACCACCCCAAAGAAGGCGTGCGCCTCGCCTTTGAGAATTCCTGCTTGTTTCCATGCTATACCTTCCGCTTCTACTCTACATAGTACATGATCTACAGATGGCATCATTGCGGCCAAGTTCTGACCAAGTTTGGTCATCTAAATTGTTTTCAATTTTATACTAACTATAGTATAAAGTTTGGTCATCTATTTTGAAACGGAGGGAGTGGATGCTAGCCCGAAATCACTATTCTGACATTTTCAGCAATCTTTGCCACAAAATGAACTCAACATGAAAGTATTTCACGATCTGACCCTTTTAACAACGTCACAACCATGGCGTTTCTTCTTCATATAGAAACGCCGAAGTAGCTCGCATTTCAAATTCATATTCAAACGCCCAGCTAGCTAGCTTTGCCGATCCACATGAAAACGCCAAGCAAGTGAACGTTGCTGCCCTTGCCAGCAACGCCTTGAGCGTTGGCGTTTCCATGCCATGCCAGCAACGCATGCCACTAGTACAGGGCAATAACGTACACGTTCGGTAAGCCGGCCAGAAATTTCACTGGGACGAGAGCATCATTGGCGTGACTTTTTGGCCCGTGTATTTCCTTACTGATAGTATAACAACTGCCAGTTGTTTTGTCAGATCAGTTGGCGCAGCATAGCTTTTAGGTTATTTCCTTGCTGATCATCTTCTCAACAAATCATTTTGCTATATCCATCCCTTGCGTGCTACACAATTTTTATTTTTAGGATCAGGAAAAGTAGCTGCTCCATCCCTTGCGTGGTACACAAAAAGATTGCGCAGGATCAGGAAACGTTCCGCATTCTCTCGGGGAAAAACTGCACAGCAGTACATACATGCATGCAACGCATGCCACTACTCCCTCCTTCCATCTATATAGGGTCTAATGCGCTTTTCGAGGCTAACTTTGACCAAATATTAGAGCAATAATATATGACATGCAACTTACACAAAGCACACCGTTAAATTCGTGTGTGAAAGGAGCTTTCGATGATATAATTTTCACATTGTGCATGTCATGTACTATTAATCTTGTCAATAGTCAAAGACGGTCTTAGAAAATGCATTAGGCCCTATATAGATGGAAGGAGCGAGTAGTACAAATTAAAGATGGATATCCCCCAAAGTACATGCATGCATGCATGATGCCTTGGACAAGAGTGCTGCTACGTCCATGCATGACCTTTGGCATTTCCATTTAGAAACCCCAAAGTACATGCATGCATGCATGATGCCTTGGACAGGAGTGCATGCATGGCCTTTGGCATTTCCATTTAGAAATGCCATGGCCATTGGCGTTTTCAGCGTGGCCAGAAACGCCGAATTCATTGGTGTTTCCACAAACGCAATCGGGCTCGGCGTTTCGAGCCTGACACCTCGGCGAGTGGGGCCAGGACAGCAACGTGGCGTGGCTTGGTATTTTTGTTTGGAGCAGAAACGCCATGGGTTGTGGCATTGCTAAAAGGGTCGGATTGTGAATTACTTTTATGTCGAGTTTAGTTTGTAGCAAAGATTGCAGTAGAGGTTAGAATAGTGATTTCGACCTAGATGCTAGGCGCTACCTCTTGTACCTGGAGCCCATGCAACCACCGGGCTTCCCAGAACAAGGTGCTTGTTCCATCTCCAACTAACAATCGGGCCGCAACCTTGTACACTTGCAAGGACTTCTCAGGCACCACGATCTCAAACTCTGCCCATGGTATGGACGTGTCTGTGTGTTGCAACCATGCCCATCTCGCCTACATAGGAATGTTGCTTCGATGGGATGGTGCTTCGTGCGGCCGGTCAAATTATTTTCTCCTCATGTCCTCACTTGTTCACATGCAATTGCGCACTGGTGGTAGAACTACAAACTTGTCCCGAGGGAGTTGCATTTGCACTTGAATGGAGATCTTTACCATTTATTCTGGAAGCGGACATCACTGAAGCGGCGATGATGCTTAACCAAAAACATATTAATAGGTCCCGGGATGTTTGCCTAGAGCATGAGATAAGAGCTACTTGATTATGATAGAGAGGTGGTAGTGAGAGTGGTTAGGCGCTCAAGAAATAGAGTTAGGCCAACTCCACCGCATGACCCTAAACGGACGTCCGGTTTGGCCGAATTTTGTTCCTTTGGGGCGGCAATGTGTTCTCCCATGTCCGTGTTTGTCCGTTGGGTCGTGGGTGCACCCAACGCGCGACCACACCCCAAATCATGTCCAGGGTGGATGTGATAAAAAAGCAAAAAAATCTTAAATAAAATGCCTAAAAAAATAAATAAACGCAGTTAAAAAAACTTAAAACATATTTAGGGGTCACGGCCACAAAACGGCTCAGTTTCACGGTCCACTTAAACGGCTCAGTTCCATAATTTACATAAAACAAAATAAAAAAAACGCCGCCCGCGCGCTCTTGCCGCGCCCCTTGATGTCATGGCCGTTGTCGCCGCCTTCAGTGGCTGCCGGTGTCGTTGTCATCGCTGACGAGGTCGACGTAGTCCGGCGGCGTCCAGAGGTGGGCCGGCGGTCCGCGGTGCACGGGGGCGGCGGGCTGGAAGGTGGCCGGTGCCTGCACCACCTCCTCCCGAGGCGAGGCGTCCCGCTCCGGCGACTGCGGCGGTGTGGGGCACCAGTTCACACCCCCCATGGCGGCCGCCATCTGCTCCGCCGTGCACGACCAGCTCCATCCCTGGCCCACCAGGCCCGGGTGGAAGGCGACCACCGGCGGCTCCTCTCTCACCTCCTCCTTCGGCACCATCTCCAGTTCGGGGATGGCGACGTCGCCGGCCGCGGAGAGGGCCGTCATCTCCTCGAGGCCCTCCCATTGGCGCTTGTCGTGCGTGCGCATGGAGTCCTCCATGACACGCGCCATGAGATGGGTCTCCTCCTCCGCTGTCATGCGAGGAGGTGGAGGTGGTGACGGAGACGGGGAAGGCGACGGCATGGGCGTGAGGCCGTGCACCAGCGTACGCCCGCGCACCTCCCGACGTGGCCGCCGCGGCCCCGACACCATGCCGGCGAAGTAGGACGCGCGTCGCACATCGTGCTCGTCCTGGGGCCACGTGTCCGACAGGACGGAGTCGGGGGCGTACCTCTCATCGTAGTAGAGGTTGTCGGGGAGGAGATGTTGGAAATATGCCCTAGAGGCAATAATAAAATAGTTATTATTATATTTCTTTGTTCATGATAATTGTCTATTGTTCATGCTAAAATTGTATTATCCAGAAATCGTAATACATGTGTGAATACATAGACCACAACACGTCCCTAGTGAGCCTCTAGTTGACTAGCTCGTTGATCAAAAGATAGTCATGGTTTCCTGACTATGGACATTGGATGTCATTGATAACGGGATCACGTCATTAGGAGAATGATGTGATGGACAAGACCCAATCCTAAGCATAGCTCAAAAATCGTGTAGTTCGTTTGTTGTAGCTTTTCCGAATGTCAAGTATCATTTCCTTAGACCATGAGATTGTGCAACTCCCGGATACCGTAGGAGTGCCTTGGGTGTGCCAAACTTCACAACGTAACTAGGTGACTATAAAGGTATACCACAGGTATCTCCGAAAGTGTCTGTTGGGTTGGCACGAATCGAGACTGGGATTTGTCACTCCGTGTGACGGAGAGGTATCTCTGGGCCCACTCGGTAATGCATCATCATAATGAGCTCAATGTGACCAAGTGGTTGATCACGGGATCATGCATTACGGCGCGAGTAAAGTGACTTGCCGGTAACGAGATTGAACGAGGTATTGGGATACCGACGATCGAGTCTCGGGCAAGTAACGTACCGATTGACAAAGGGAATTATATACGTATTGATAGAATCCTCGACATCGTGGTTCATCCGATGAGATCATCGTGGAGCATGTGGGAGCCAACATGGGTATCCAGATCCCACTGTTGGTTATTGACTGAAGAGGCGTCTCGGTCATGTCTGCATGTCTCCCGAACCCGTAGGGTCTACACACTTAAGGTTCGGTGACGCTAGGGTTGTAGAGATATTAGTATGCAGTGACCCGAAAGTTGTTTGGAGTCTCGGATGAGATCCCGGACGTCACGAGGAGTTTCGGAATGGTCCGAAGGTAAAGATTTATATATAGGAAGTCCAGTTTCAGCCACCGGGAAGGTTTCGGGGGTCGCCGGTATTGTACCGGGACCACCGAAAGGGTCCCGGGGGTCCACCGGGTGGGGCCACCTATGCCGGAGGGCCCCATTGGCTGAAGTGGGAGGGGAACCAGCCCCTGGTGGGCTGGTGCGCCCCCCCTTGGGCCTCCCCTGCGCCTAGGGTTGGGAAACCCTAGGGGTGGGGGC